ACTAGTGAGTCAGAGCTTGGGGTATACGTTGGGCTGCATGGACTTGAGGTGGATATGTTATAGTTGCCAGGGTGGCTTGGTATGCTTGCGCCTGAGGGAAATATTGTCTCATTTGTGTCGCCACATGCGGAGGTTGATCAATTTGTTGGACATGACGGACAATTGAAACCGGTTGAAGAACCAATTGACGTGGTTGTCCTAGGGGATGTCCTATAGCACTAAATTCGTTTGGAACTGACCCATGTGCTTGGGCATGAACAATAGAGCCCAGTCTACTAGACTTTGGAAGGTCGCTTGGACACCTAGATCACCAAGGGGCCTATTCAGGTCAAGACCTCCATTTCCTATTTGCATTAAGGTTGCCATGGGCTATGCTATGGTGTCTTGAAGTTGGTTTGGATCACCTAGACCTAAGTGGGTCTTGATTTCGAGGTTGTTGTCCATGGTTTGAGTTATGGGAAGGGCCATTTGATAATGCATGAGCTTCTTCCCTCCCTCGGCTTCTACTTTGGGTACCTAGGAGCCCTTGCAAGATGAGCATGGGTCGGACCCCCTGACTAATCAAAGTTTTTAGGGTTGTACTTGCTTTTTTGGCAATGCAAATCTCAGGATCTGGAACAGATCCTTGAGATTTTGCTTCTAGTTGGAGACTAGGGCACCAGACTATTGATGGATTTGGTCTTTGGTCGTAATCCCATGAAATTGCGGCATACTGGTCCCTAGGTTTGAGAAGATTAAATTTGGAGTTGGTTGTGGAACAATCTTCTTTATCGCCTTGGGTGACCGACATGGTGGCTTCCCCTTAATTTGGTCTTCAATCTAGACGGGGCATGACCTGGACTTGGATCTTACTAGACTCGATGGGCTTCAGTTTGGGCACTGAATCAAGATAGACCTAGTCTGGTAATAAGAACAAATCTAACTCTAGACCTAAAATAAGACCTAGATTGAGACCTAGACTAGATGGGTACGAGTTTTGACTCGAACCAAAGGGGGGGGGAACCTGGTTCAAACCTGGGCTAGGTTGGGCACAAGCTTAAATTCCGACCCAGAAGGATTACGTTCAGACCAGGTGTGATTGGGTACGAGCCTCTACTCGGATAAAAAGGGGACCTAGGCTCGGATTTGAGTGTGAACCTGGTTGGAGCCTGGGCTAGGCTTGGCTGGGCACAATCCTAGACTCAGACCCAAAAGGATTCAGTTCAGACCTCGTGTTGACCTGGACTGAGATTTAGGTTGGATTAGGCACGAACCTTGCTCAGACCAAAAGGGGGCCTAAGCTCGGATCTGAGTGTGAACCTTGTTGGAGCTTGGTCTAGGCTGTGCACAAGCCTGGACTCGGACCCAGAATGTTTGAGTTAAGACTAGGTGTGGACCTGAACTGAGATCTAGGTTGGATTGGGCACAAGCCTTGGCTCCGATCAAAACGGGGGCTACGCTCGGTCGAACTTGGGCTAGGCTGGGAGCGAGCTTGGACTTAAACCCGTAAGGATTGAGTTCAGACCAGGTGTGGACTTAGACTGAGAACTAGGTTGAATTGGGCATGAGCTTTGATTCAGACCAAAAGGGGGCCTAGGTCCAAACAAGGGTGTGAACCTGGCACAATTCCAGAGTCGGACCTAGGAGGATTCAACTTCAAACCGGGTGTGGACCCGGATTGAAATCCAAGACTGACGAACATAAAATAAACTCAACAATGCACTAAAAAATGTTTGAAAGTTTTTCTCTAGACTATGGTAAGTCAAGCCGGTGGTGGTTCATAACTATTGAAAATGTTGACATACAATTAGGCTAAGTAAGTCTCGATGTAGGCCCTAGTCATTTGTTAAAGGAATCAACCAAGTCCAACTATGTGTGGAGTTGTTTTGAGGCTGAGGATTACGGAAGCATACTCACAATTAAAGTTACATGAATGCCAACCGCCTCGATTGACAAGGCTGGGTGCCCCTCACGACTTTAATGCCAAAATTTGGAGGTTTTCGACAATATTTGTTGGTTTTCCCGACTTCCCCATTTTGTTGGGTGCAAGTAGTATGTAAAAGAGCACGCAAGTGCAGTGGGTGCAAGACTGCAAGATGTAACACAATCAAATCAACTAAAAAAATAAAATAAGAGAAATGTGAGTATTTGGTCGTGCCAAATAATGTGTGCTCTCAAATTGAACTCTAGCAATTGAGAGCACAGTTCGGGTGCTAAGGCAAGCAACCCTTAAAAAGGTACGTAGCCAAGAGAGTGGCAATAGGGCACAATCTGTACCTCGTTGAGTACGCCCCAAGTCGAGGGTGACTCAATCAGACCTCTCAATAAGAGAGAGAGTGCAATTGACCCTCGGAAGTTTTTCTTCTTCTTTTGTTTTCGATGAACAGAGATAGAAGTGTGAAATGCTGAATTAAAAGCAAAGAAATGGAGAGAGATATTTTTATTCTTTTTCTTTTGATATTTTTATTCTTTTTCTTTTCTTTTTCAAGTGAAAATTCAGATCTCTTAGGTTTTTTTTTTCTTTTTTTTTTTTTGGGATAATGAATTTCCTTTTAAAAAGAATTTTTAAAGAAAAATTGATTTTTTTATTTTTTGAAATCAAATAAGCTTTTAAATTTTACTTTTTGTATTTTTCTTGCAAAGCAAATTTTCTTTTTCAAAATGAGAAAGGCCTTAAATTTTTATTTTCTATTTTTTAAAGCTAGATGTCCTTAAAAAGATATTTTCTTAAAAAAAAGGCAAGATGTCTTTAAATTTTTTTTGTTTTTTTTTAATCGAAGAGGCTTAAAAAAAAGTGCTCAATTTTTTTTTTGGGATTAGAAAGGTTACCATACACACCCACTTTTTTTTTTTTGGGAGATGGAATGACCTTAAAAAAAACAAACAAACAAACAAAAAACTATTTTTTCACAACCAAAAAAAAAACAAAGTGGCCTTATAAAATTTTCTCTAAGCAAAATAGTTTCTTTTTAAATTGAAAAAAAAAAGGCCTTAAAAGAAGTCCTTTTTTTTTTTTTAGCAAAAGAGATTTTTTTTTTCCTTTTTGAAACAAAGAGTTTTTTATTTTTATTTTTTTTCAAATGGTAAAAATACTTTTAAAAAGAAGATAAGATAAAAGAGATAAGATCGGGTCGTAGTGGTAGCACCACTCTTACTCTAGCTAAGGTCTAGGCTTCCATTCTTGCCTAACGCATTCAAAAACTACTAACAATTTTAAAAACAGGCGGGTAGGGGCAAATCATCCCCACTGAATTACCCAAAAAAAAAAGAAATCGAATAAGATCAAGTCCAATCTAAAAAGATAATAGAAGATAAAACTTAGTCTAATGTGCAAGATAGACATAAAGCAAAAATAAGGAATTAAAATACTAATCTATCTCATATAAGAATAAAACACGAGATAAATTAATTTAATTTATTTAGAGAAAAAGAGAAAGCAAGATATAAGGAATTTGAAAACCTAATCTATTTATATATTTTTTTTATTTCTTTTTACCTTATTTTATTTTGGAAAACAATGTGGAATAAAAAAACGAAGCAATTTTTAGCTAAAGAGATTTTTTTCTTTTTAAGTTTGGGAAGTGGTAAATTACAAGAGAAGAAATGAATTTTTTAAATTGTAAAAAAAAAAAAAAAACAACTATGAAAACAAGTATGTGAGGCCAATTTCTAACGGATTTCGAGTGATCTCCAGCTCGACGTGCTCCACGGTGGGTATCAAACTATTTCCAGTGCAAAATCAGAGAGATATTCAAATGAAGATCCTTTAGATCTAAACACTATAAACTTGTTCTTAAAAATTTGATAGAGAGGCGTCAATCGAATTCCGATCTAAGGGCATAGCTATTTAAAAACAAATCGGCTCTTAGATCAGCAATAGGGTTGACATTAATCATAGCACGAAATACTAAAATAAAAGCAATGAAATGGTTTTAAGTCTAATCAAATAAATAAAAAGCCTTGCCCGTATCAAGATAGCGACTATGTTTATACCGTGCGTCCTCAGTGTCTCTATTCAAATATGACAAAACTAAGGCCTTCTAGATCTCATCTGACGTTGCAGGATTGAAGATAGTTGATGGCTTAGGGTTTGTCTCTTGATCATTGTTAGAAAAGCCATGTGATCTACCGCTAACCGCCCCGTTAGATCGAAACCAGCTACTAGCCAATTCTGATTTTGGGCGATTTTGGTGGTCGACCGATATTTACAAAAATAATTCAAAACAATATATATAAATTCTAAAAAATAAGGAATTTGGTTTGTAATATATTTTTTAATATTCTTTATATTATGATAAAGATTAAAAATTGTTTTGGTCCTTAATACTCACTTTTATATTTTTCCATCGTTTTAAGAAAAATTTTAAAATAATCCTAAGCACAAATCGAATCCCTAAAACCTATTTTTTTCATTAATTTTCAACTTCATTTGAATTTAGTCATTCTCTGATATGCTTTTCATATTTTAGTTTTTTTTTTTTTGTATCTTTTTTTTTAAAAAAAAAACTTTTTTTACCGCCTGGGACTTGCCCAGTTAGAACGGTTGAATCAACTGGTTTACCAGTTAGGCTGGTTAAACCGCTTGTGAGCCCATATCCGGTTAACCGTTCCTGTTCGATTTAAAGAACACTACTCTAGATTTAGGTTTTTCACTTATTTTTCTTGACTAACATAATCTAACCCTAATATAAGTCGTCAAAATGAGCTTTTAAAGACTCAAAAAGTGCGTATGTAGATAATTACTAAAAACCACCGGATATGCTAGCTCAAATTTCAATTTTGGGGGGTCAAAAGATGGGGACCATGGACTACTGTATTATATAGTTCTAGGATCTTATGAAATAATATAGTATTAAAGGTTATCAAAAAAATCACGAAATTTACCTTTTTAAATTTGGGTGTCTACACTTATAAATATAAGATCGTGATGTTTTGCACCATCCGTATTACTTCATAGCTACAGATTTAATACATCTCTTAAATCAATATCAAAAAGTCACACGTTCTTAAAAATTGTGCTATATCATTACTCCAAACTTGCTTTTTATAAATAAAAGCTACACTCGTACATAAATTTTCCAGTAAAAAAAAAAAAGAATGGGCTGAATTTAGCTCACTACTTGTCCTTTTCTACCATTTCCAATTACTCCTATGACAAAGACGATGAACTTCTTCTAGTTTGATCAGGTCATGATCGAGATGCTTCGTAACATATGCAAAGTCTATTCTGATATCCTTGCATCCAATGTCATAACTTCAGTGCAGATTCCAAGACTTGTTTTCTTTATCAAAGGGACATGAAAATGCTACTTCCCAATAGTGAAGCAATCAAGGCAATTTTCTTGCTTTAAACCTTTGTCCCAAAACTTGAGATAGTACTCACTGTAAGTGTAGCTTCGGTAAATTGGTGGATGGTCCTTATCAAGGAGCTTCTCAGCTGGGCTTATAATGGCATCATCAGACGGGCAATAGAAGGTTGGGACCGAAATTCTCTCTTTCTCATTGTTCACCACTGCCCTGTGTATTGCACTCTTGTACCTTCCGTTGCTTATCACCTGCATTCATATTGTGGTATTCGTGATATTTTTATATATTATGATAAGGCTATTTCAGGCAAACAAAAACTCTTTCTGTAATTTAAATCAAATCTTCTTTGTCAATAGATGATATTCGTTGCGTTAAAAAAAAAAAAGAAAAAAATGTAAACCAACTTTGCCGCGTAAAAGCATGAGAAGACACAAAGTTGGAGAAAAGAAAAAAAATTGGAAAGGGTGCGGTTTCTATAGAGCCTAAACTCTTAACAACCAAATTAGAGCCTACTTTCAAATAGTATCGAGAAATATGGTTCCAATACTGGGAATCTTTGTAATAGCCTTAAAGTATATTTTCATCTTTATGTATAAAGTTTAATGCTTCAATAATTGTGTAGATCAACAGATATATGAAAACTTGAAAATCTTAAAAATTGATGGTACAAAAATGCATTATAAAATATACTATTTTCAAAATTTAAAATCTATTTTTTTCTCATGTCCGTACGTCTTGATGTCGAGATAATCAATTTGAGGATATTTGAACATCAAAACAACCTCTTCTCGTGAATTTTTGATGGTAGGCTCCAATTTGATTGTTTAGTACCTCGACTCTATATAAACTTTTCCCCAACATAAATATCCTGTATTTTTTTGCCATTTCGTAATTAGCCTATGTTTATATGGTACAAACGTAGGTTTCCAAAGGAGGATATGTGTCTAGGGTAGTTACAAAATGGGATTGACTACAAAGACACAATTTGTATATGTAGATCATAATCATTTTTGTCTTTTAAATTGTAAAATGGGTGGTTGTACGAGGTTATTAAATAGACAAACTTTTAAAAAAGAAAACAAAAAAAATCTGGCTTCGTTATTTACCCCAAACCATCCAATTTACCATCTAAGAACCGAAAATGATTGTGATCTCTATGTACAAAAGAATAAATGATTCTTTGGTAGACAATCCCTTAAAAAAATTTCCTTTTCATATTCGTTTATTTGAATGGAAAAAGAACGGCCTTAAAATGATTTTTGAACGAGCAGTTTTATTATATTAATATATAAACAGTTTCTTGAGCGACAGAGAAAGAGAACAACAAAACCGTGTGATAGAACACACCAAATTGTTTAAAAAGTTCTTTCATGAAAAAGGGAAACGCTAACCTGTATCTGGTCACCGACGTTTACAACAAAAGAATTAGGAATTGGATCAACGGCCACCCATTTGCCATCTTTGAGCACCTGAAGTCCCGGAACTTGGTCTTGAAGGAGAATGGTTAAAGCGTTTGGGTCAGTATGGCCTGGCAATCCATAAGTTAGCTCTGGTTCAGGACATGGAGGATAGTAATTGATGGCCATATGTTGCCCTTGTTTCCCTAATGCCTTCTCTATGTAATCCCCTTCCAAACCCAAGCTCTCAGAAATGGCTTCCAAGAGCCTCAAAACCAGTCCTCTAACCATTGTGCAGTACTCACTAACACATCCCCTGCAAAACCGCATGTTTGTTTTATATTTAAGAATGTGAACTAGTTGTAAACAGTGGAGGATTGAATGACTTGGGCCCAGTACTCAGCCTAGGCCGGAGCAGAGTACCGGCCCCAGTTGGGCTAAATAAGCTAAAAAATGTTAAAAAAATACGAAATATACGGTTAAAGTAAAATTAAACAAAACAAATCTGGTAAAAAAATAGATCGAAAGAAAATCAATTAGTTACCAGGAATATTTTTGAAATAATCCCAAAAAACAAAATATAAAATTAAGTATTCACGGTCAACATACTTTTCAACCTTTACCAACATAATAGAACACATAAAAAAAGCACGCTATAAAATGATTTCTTTTCTAAAAAAAACTTATAATTTTTTTTTAATTTTTTTTTAAGATCTCCGAGTGGAATACCAACTCGGGGATACTAAGGCTTAGTCGAACACTGGTTGTAAGATCACAAAACAAGAGATTAAACTGAGAATTTTAATGAAATTAAGGCCTGGCTTGTAGCTTTAAGAATGAGGAAAAAGACAAAGTTCATGACCCTTTTTACCAAAAAGATTGAATTTCAGCTAGTGAGTGGGGATGGACCTGAAAGAAGTAGGGTTTGAGGGCCACTCGTCAGTGAAGTCCTGCAAAGGATAGCAATGGAGCCTTAGGTAGTCACGCCAATTGCGGACACTCTCTCTCTTCATGTTGAAGCTGGTGGAGAGTCTCATTGTTTTGGAGGGGTCATCCGAGAAGTTCTTCATCTTCTCAAATTCTGGAAGTCTGAAGAAATCGCGCGAGACCTGCATCATGTTCTCGATGACGCCCTCCGGTATTCCATGGTTCACCACCTGCAAATTCCAGCACCGTCTAGAAGTGAGATTAGAAGAAAAGAAAATGAACAAAGAAGAAATTGCCATGATGATGAAATTAGAGGAGACAATACCTGAAACAAGCCATCATTTTGACAGGCTTGGGCGATCTGATTAAGGATGAGGGTCCTATGAGGTCCTTGAAGGCTTTGGAGATCAATAGAAGAGACAGGGCACTCTGCGTAATGAACTTGGGTGAGGTTAGCGCGGTCACAAACGGGTCTGATGTAGCGCTGAGGAACAGAGAAGTTTTGAGTCAAAATATCAGATAACAATGTAGGGGCCATGCCTGCTGTGCCTTAGGTGGTAAAGTGAGTAATGTCCTGGCCTTCCTTATAAGACGCATTACCTGCTAATGCCGCTTCTCTGTATAGGCTTCTGCCTATGTCAGCTGCATGACGATTATAAGGTGTACGTCTGGCGTAAGACAATATAAGGCGTACAGCTGGCACCCGCTTTGTGTCCTACAACATACGACTTATATTTCTCTTCATCCAATCCTCTATTAAACTCCCACTAGTCAAAAATATATATAAAATATTTTTAGTAAAATAAAATAACTAAATTATCTTTGAAAGATTCAAAAGGTAATTTGATCATTATATTTTATCAAAAAATAATTCTTTATAATTTTTGCCTCAATGAGAAAATAGCACGTACCAAATTTCATATTCATACAATATCTATAAAAAAACTTTAAAATAAAATACTTTAAGACATAAGATCTAAGATCAAATGGTGAGTGGCTATCTTAATCAAAATTTGACGGCTGGATGGTAGCAGAAGCATAGATCTTCTATGCTATAGGGGAAGTATAGAAACCTTCCCTTTTGCCTATGACATGCAAGTCACAAATAAACGCGGTAAAAATTAAAGAAAAAGTTTAGGGAAAATTACAAAACACCCCCCCTCCAACCTAACGCTTTCACTCACTTTTATCTCCAAAGCAAGCTTTTTATGCAAATATGCCCCAAGGGAAAAAGTTCATTTTTTTCGATAGAAATGCCCGTCCCAAACATGGAAATCATTTTAGCCAGATTTGACGTCGGCTTTTGGACCCCAATAGAACATTGCCGGAGCATACTATCACATTACTGGAGCACACAAGTGCTAGACCGCCCTAAGAAAACTACCAAACCGAAACTGAGCATTGCCAGCCCACCCTTTATATAGTGACGGAGCCTTGGAATCCAATAACATCTACTTACCGCACTTTACACAATTCTAGAGCCCTATTGCCGGACTGCACTTTACACGGGTCAGAGCCCTACTGCGGGACTGCACTTTATACAGTGTCGGAGCATGGTTAAGGTAAAAGTAAGGAAGGTTAGTTTAGATTATTTTTTATTTGGTTGGCGGGTATTTGTATAGAAAGTATATTTTGGGATAAAAAAAGTGAGAGAAAAAGTCTGGCTGGGGATAAGTTGTATAGAAAGTATAGTTTTGGGGTTTTTTTGTAGTTTTCCCAAAGTTTATGGAAGGTATTAATTTTGGAACTTGGGAATAAATATATTTTTTAAAAAATAATTTGTTCTTAATTTTTTAAAAACATATAATTTTTAATATGAAGATCATGCATAAGAAAAAAATATTTAAAAAATAAAAATAATAATTATATTAAAATAAACATTTAGACCATTAATTACAATTGGTTTTAGATGGAACCCCTGATTGCATCCATCTTTAAGATGGATACTTCATACCTCTGGACCGCATATTGTAGAAATGCGATCCAGCCGCCATGAAACAATTGTTCATTAATTTTAGGAATGTATACAACAAGACCACTTTCATTTTGTACAAAGTAATTACAATTAATCTTGGCCATTAGATGTTAGATTGGGTCATTGCATTTACTTTATTAACTAAGCTCAAAAGTATAAAAGAAATTTTTTTGAAATTTGTGACACATCCAGGCTATCAAATTTCATATTAGATATTTATAAATAATTGTGATTTCCTTGTACAATAGGTAAAATGGTCTCATTGTATACACTTCCGTATTAGCTTTATATAATAAGACTATTTGTTTTTTTTTAAGGAGATCACAATCATTATTGACCACTAGATATAAAATTGGATGGTTGGAGATATGTCATTGATTGGGTACAAAGTCCAAAATAAAATTTCTCGAATGTTGTGACAAACTTCAATCCATTAGATTTCATATCCAATAGTTGAGAATGATTATGACTACCTTCCCTAAATTTTAAATAGGTGAAGTTTGTATAAGGTTGCGTCCTTGTACTATATAAGTAAAGCGCACCTCTAAAGTTTGTTTAGAGATGTCGTTCTGATGTCAAAAACTTAAAATAGCTTGAAATCTATTTTTCTCCCTACTTATCAAATTTAAGATGAAAAAGGTGCATATTGGTAGATCATTAACATTTGAAAACCTTCAAAATAGATGGTCCAGGTAAGTTAATACAAGATGTACTCTTTTTTGGACTTGCAATCCTTTTTCTCTTTCATGTTCGTACATCTAGAGGTCGAAATAATCAATTGAAGGGTTCTTCAATACCATAATTGTTTATTTTGCAGGGTTTTTAAGGTATTTCTTACTTCAGTAGTATAAGGTTGCAACCCTATATAAACTTTTTCAGTTTATATTGTATAAGTAATGTGTATGTCAAAAATCTACTTGATTGTTTTGATGCCGTGACACCCTATAGTTCAGCATCTCAACCTCAAGATGTATGGATATAAAAGAAAAAACAAAAACAACTTGATGTCCAAGAAAGATTGCATCGTAATATATTATCTAGTCCATTATTTTCAAAAAATAATTAAGAGTTATAGATCTAATTGATCCACACTATTTTCTGAGCTTAATATTTCATAATTAGAGGTGAAAATAGATTTTTAGGTCATTATAAGGATTTTCCCGCAGTAGAACTATATCTTTTAAAGATTTGGAAGTGCACCATATTGTGAATGTTTATGATTGAAACCCTCTACAAACAGCATCCAAAATTAAAAGAGTGTGGTTTATATAAATATCAAAATCAATTAATCAAAAGCAAGGCAAACCTCCAAATCTTATTGGGAGATGTGATTTGGTGCAAAATATCATTGCAATGGCCTTAAACTCTAGTTTTACCTCAAACTATGAAATTTAAAACTCTGATAATGGTGATGATTAAGTCGATGTAAAAGCACTTGGGAATCTTGAAAATAGACTGTCCAGATAATATACTACAAGATGCACTACTTTTAGGACTTAAAAAATATTTTTTTAATATATCCAATTATCTTGAAGTTGAGATTGTGAAAACTGTATTTCTGTATATTTGGGCCTTAAGCTCCCATGGAAGATGTATTTCATAGCTTATTCAAGATGTGAATTTATAGGGTTACAAAGTTGTGTACTACTCAAACAAAATAAAATATGCAATGAACCACCTTCTTAATATGGGTATAAATAAAAGAAAGGAAAATATTATACTCAAAATAAGTGCAGCTTTTTATAATTTCCACATAGATGATCAATTGGAAGGCTTTCTAACATCGGAACATCCTTTTTTAAGTGGGTTTTTGAGACATGCCTTAGGTGAACAAGGTTGATGCATTATATAAGCTTTTTTTAAAATTAAAAAGAAATAAAAAAATTAGAGAGAGAAAGAAAGAGAGAGAGATGATTAAAATTTCAAATCATCAAAAGCAACTTATAAAACATGGATTATTTGGTATATTGAGAGATCAGGATAGATAAGAGTATTGCACGACAACCATGACCCTTTAATTTTAATCTGGATTCACGATTCCTAACCCAGATTGACAAGTTTTAAGACCATAGCAATCTACATGACTTAGACAAGGATGTCAAAAGACGAATAAATCTAACAAACAAATATCACTTCGAAGTGCTATTATGATAACCTATCTGGTTTTGCATCCAACCACCATACCCATTCGAATCTGCAGTCTGATTTAGCGGTCCAAATGGTGTGCATACATAACTAAAAAATAAAAATAAATGTTAAACATGAGAAACCGGAATATTCTTGGCAATCCCTAGACCTGGATAGTCCCCCACATCGGTGGAACCAGGCCATTTCAATTCAACCCTCCAATTTTAAAAAGCACTGCTTCGCACATTTAACCTTGTATGTGACCACAATCTTTTTACAGGAAAAGAGTGTCCATATAACCTAATAGACTTTATAAGAACCATAGCCCATCCCGCTATTTTTCCAACATGATTACACCTTATTTAATATTAAAAATTAATAAATAAATAAAGGGAAGTGAACTCTATAGAAAGAAGGCCGAGCGGTGGCTTTTTGCTCAAATACTAAACAATAAGGAGATTATTTGTCATTATTATAATGTGATCATAATTAATATTGATATTGGATGTGATATTGGGTGTCTGCATTTATTTTTATTGACTAAACTCAAAATTCAAAAAAAAAAATCTCGAATTTTATAACAAATCTAAGCTTTCAATTTTCACATTATATGGTTATAACTTCTTATACCAAAAGCAAAAAATGCACATATAATCTCATAAATTAAAAGACCGAAAACTTGACAATGTAAAAGTCTTTCCATTTTAAAACACTAAGCTCGTGATAAACTGACAATCCGACCTGGCTGGTCGGACCCGTGGTATCCTTGTTAACCAAACCCACCTGCTCCAATTGTTAGGAGAATCGCGTCCTATAGATATGCTGGGTGGCCGGCTTCATCCGTTTTCTTTGTTTGATATGATGACGAGAGGAAGACTACGTCATGGTGGTGATATGTGATGAAACGTACCTAAAGCTCGTAATTTCAAAGGACGGCTTCTCTTTTTACACTTCGGACAAGACAAGCAAAATAAATATTTTTTCTACCAAGACAAAAAAAAAAAATCTTCTTTTTTAACACTTAAAAAGCAAATATGTCAATAAATATCTTCACCAATGATTCATTGACGGAGGGACATGTATACTCACTTAAAATATGGTCTACCAGACATCTCAAATCATTGGTGGCTTGGTTAAGTTGTACCTAACACATTGTGAAGTTTTGATAGGTATGGCTATATATTAGTTGGAGCTTAGGCAATAATTTATGTGGTCGCGAGGGACTCACCCCCAACAAGTCTTACTTTCCACCCCGTGGTATTGGAGCTCAAGGAAAGAGTGTATTAATTCAGGGAAGATGATAATTTACTTATTCGAAGTAGAGAAATTTGATGGAAAGAAAGATTTTGACCTACAATAATTAGAAGTTAATTACACATTGGTGCAACCATAGTTAGGGCTGAGAATGTTTCATATAGGATCCGGATCTACCCAGATTTGGATTCGGATATGAAAAGTATACAT